AACACATGGACAGAGAAAACTGTACTGTGGTTACCAGGGGCAGTGGGGATGGGGGGTGGGCACAAGGGGTGAAGGGAGTCATATTTATGGTGATGGACAAACAAAAATGCACAACCCAAAATTTCACAATGTTAAAAACCATTAAAACATCAATAAAAAAACAAACAAAAAAAAAACAAAAAGGCAACCTACTAAATAGGAGAAGTTATTTGCAAATCATATTATCTGACAAGGGGTTAATATCTAAAATATATAAAGAACTCATACAACTCAACAACAGAAAAACAAACAACCCGATTAAAAAATGGGCAAGAGGACCTGAATAGACATTTTTCCAAAGAAAACATACAGATGGCCATCAGGCACATGAAAAGATGTTCAACATCACTAACTAGGGAAATGCAAAACAAAACCACAAATAAGATATCTCCACACACCTGTTAGAATGGCTATTATCAAAAAGACAGGAAATAATAGTTGGAAAGGATATGGAAAAAAAGGAACCCTCGTACACTGGTGGCAGGAATGGAAACTGGTGCAGCCACTATGAAAAACAGTATGGAGATTTTTCAGAAATTAAAAATAGAACTACCAGGGGCCAGCCCGGTGGCACAGTAGTTAAGTTTGCATGCTCTGCTTCGGTGGCCCGGGGTTCGCAGGTTCGGATCCCAGGTGCAGACCAACGTACCACTTATCACACCACGCTGTGGCAGGCATTCCACATATAAAGTAGAGGAAGATGGGCACAGATGTCAGCCCGGGGCCAATCTTCTTCAGCAAAAAGAGGATTGGCAACAGATGCCAGCTCAAGGCTAATCTTCCTCACGAAAAAAAAAAAAAATAGAACTACCATATGATCCAGCATTCCACTTCTGGGTATTTATCTGAAAAATACAAAAACACTAATCCAAAAAGATATATGCATCCCTATGTTCATTGCAGCATTATTTACAATAGCCAAGATATGGAAACAAGGTAAGTATCCATCGATGGACGGATGGATAAAAAAGAGGTGGTATATATACACAATAAAACATTAGCCATAAAAAAGAATGAAATCTTGCCATTTGTGAGAACATGGATGGACCTTGAGAGTAGCATGCCAAGTAAAATAAGTCAGATGGAGAAAGCCAAATACTCTATGATTTCACTCATACGTGAAATCTAAAAAAACAAAACAAACAAAACAATAACAAACTCATAGATACAGTGAACAGACTGGTGGTTATCAGAGGGGAAGGAGGTTGGGGGGTGGGCGAAATGGGCGAAGGGGGTCACTTGAAACTGTATAGTGATTGATGGTAACTAGATTTTTGGTGGTGATCACTTTGTAGCATATACAGATGTCAAATTATTATGTTGTACATCTGAAACTTACATCATGTTATATACCAATTTTACCTAAATAAAAAATACCTAACAGCAAACTGATGACAAATGTAAGCCCTTGACATACCAAATTTGCCACTGAGTGCCACATTTAAAAGAATGTCAATTCCTTCTGGAGCTAACCCATTCTTCCAAGCCACATTTTCCACAGTTTTCAAGTGTTTTTCCAAGGTTTTATCTTTACTCCGTGAAGTTTTAGTGGGACCTGGAAAAAGGAACAATATTAAATAGGTGGGACCTTTAAAATTCTTTCAGTCCTCAGCCTCAACAATTACAATTTAGGATACTTTAAAGGAATAGCTTTATGTAAAACATGTCTCCCTAAAAACCCTTCAAAGCCTTTAAAACTCGAGAATATTTAATACCAATAGCACCTTCAGTGAGGAACACTGAATCATGCCCTGGTTTCTCTGCTCTAAACTAACTAAACGCACTGAACTTCGACTATAAGCTGTTTCAATACTAGGGCAATGGTCCCCAAACTTTGCTGCACATTGGAATCACCTAGGGAATCTTTAAATAATCCCGATGCCCAGGCTGCATCACATACCAATAAAATCAGAATGTCTAAGAGTGGATGCCAGGCATCAGTGTTTTTTAAAGATTCTCAGATAATCCCAACATGCAACAGTTCGGAAACCACTCTGCCAGCAACATGCTTTGTTGTTGTATCCCTAGTACCTAGCATACTGATACGTAGTAAGTGTTCAACAAATGTCTACTAAATAAACAAAACCATGAATGAGCAAACATATGCTTTCCTTTACAAATCCTTAAGAAAAAAGTCTAGAACATTTTTAAAGAAATTGGATTTTCATAAGGAAAACAATCTGTCTTACCTTTCTCGAAGTATCTTACTGCTATTTGCAGAGCATCTTCTGCTTTACCATCGGCATGTTCATAATATTCCACTGGGTTGTTTTGTCCATGTTTTGAGACACTCTTTGAGTCGTTTAGGTCCTCTTTCACTCTCCAGGCTGAGAGATTAGTCTGATAACTATTACTACCTTGTGAACTCTTCTTTTGTGCCCGAGAGTTCTTAACTCTCTTTTGGGATGACATTACTGCACATATTCTATACAGAAACAAGTTTCAAGTTACCATTAATCAGCCAAACAAACAGTCCCTTTTTACTCCACAAAGACAGGAACCATATCTGCCTATATTCCCAACATTTAGTACAGAGTACCTAGCATACAACAAGTACACAATAAAAGAAACTGACAACAATCCAGGAAACAAAACTTACAGGTTAACTTTCTCAGAAAGCCCTTGACCTCAACAGGAATAGAGAGAAACAACTCTCCAAGGTAACATTCACCAGCTGAACTGGCCTTCTTGTGGGACAAAAACATAAGGGTACAGGTAACACAGCAAGTTCTCTTTAAATGGCTATATCACATAAGCGAGTCCAAAAGTAATCCATCTCATAAAATCAATCTTCCTTTCTCTACTCACTCCTACTTTTCTCCACCCCTCCCTGATTTTGTTTTTAATCTTTCATGCTCCCTACTTTGTCAGTGCTAAGTTAAAACTGCATAGTTCAAAAGTCAAACTGGTGGCCAAACTAAGGATTCTCAGAACAGAAACATTCCCCATTAATTCACTTCTTCAATAAATAATTACTGAACATCATCTCTATGCCAAGCATAGTTCTAGTTACCAGAGATAAAATAATAAAACAGTCAAGGTCTGTGCTCTAAGGAAACTTATGGGGGTGCTGTGGGCAGGAGTGTGAGACTCGAAAAATAAGTAAATAATTAGTAGTGAACATCTAACAGTGATGTGACAGAAATGGGGCTGGGAGTGAGAAGCTACTAAGGAATAAGTGTGCAGAGAAAGCCTCTCTGAAGCGACCTTTAAGCTGAGATTTGAATGCCAAGAAGGAACGAGCCATGTGAGGATCTGATGGAAGAATACTTCATGGAGAGGGAAGAGCAAGACATGCTAAGACCTTAAAAGCAAGAGCTTCCTGTGTTAGAGAAACAGCAACACTACTGGGGGGGGGCGGGGGGCGTGTAGAAGCATGAAAGGGCTAGAGGGCAGTGAGTGGGAGATGAAGTCAGAAAGGCAGCCAGGGACTACCATTTTGGGACTTGTAGGTCAGAGTAAGGAGTTTGGGTTTTAAGTGTCATGGGCAACTATGGGGGAAGGGAGGGGTGAGAGAGGGGAGTGATACTATCTGATTTATGTGTTAAGACCATTTTAGCTGCAGCATGCAGAATAGAATGTTAGCGGTCAAGGAGTGGAAACAGACCAATTAAAAGGGTCTTGCAGAAGTCCAGAAGAGAGATGACTGTAGTTGGAGCTAGGTCTAAGGTATAGCGCTGGAAGAGGTAGAAAATATTCGTATTTGTGATATGTTTTGGAGGTAGACTGGGCAAAGGCCACGATAACAGAACTGGATGTAGGGAAAAGGAAAGAGAGGAACCCAGAATGACTTCAAAGTTTTTGGCTTCAGACGGGAAAAACTAAGAGAATAGTCGGAATGACACTTACTCAATCCCACCTCCCCAGAACAGATGAGGCCAGAGCTGGAGAGCAATATGTATGTCTAACCCAGCGGGAGGTTCCGGGTTCCGAGCTGTTTCCCAGGGTCCTAAGAAAGAAGGGCGGGAGTGCAGCTTCTGACCTCAGCCGGTTGAACTGTTCCATCGCTTCCCAAGAACCCCCCTTTCACAGCCTGCCCCAGCAGGGAGCGAACTTGGCCACTGCGACTGACTCACTGAGCAGATTCCTGGGCTGGGGGAAAACCCGACCCCAACCACACTTTGCAGGATAGTCCTGCTCAGAAGTCAGGAGATTCCCTTCGCTCTCGGGGGGGCCCCATTTCGCGCAGTGTTTAAAAGTACCTCACCAAATACACTCAGCGGTCCTAATGCCTCCAGCGTCCGAACGTCGCCTCCCGGATTCAAAAGAGCGGGCCCCACCCCGCGCATGCGCTTCCGCGGAGACCCAGGCGGTGGCTAGGCGGAGCGGCATACTCTGCTGAAGCCTGATTGGTTGGGCTACAGCTCAACGGCGCGAGGCGGCGCGCGCGCGCCGACGCTGACGCAGACCCAATGCCAGAGAGCCGCTTGCCCCACCCTCCCCGGCCCGGGGACGCGCGGCAAGTGGGCCGTTGCTGCTGGAGCCAGCTGATTGGCTGGCGTTCCCACAGTGCTAATAATGTTCGCGTTCGTCATTTTGCTTGAAACGGGACAATTAATGTCTCGATTCTGAATTTAACAAGATCAATTATAGCGATCATTTAGCTCAGATTGACCCCACATGTGGGACTTTGTAGGAAAATATGAAACTGCAAACTTCGCAATAAAGGCTGCTTCTCCCGTGCTGGGCAAGGGACTTAGGTTACAAGGTCTGTGACCTCTGAAGCTGTCGCTTTCCCCAAGTAAAGCTAGGGGGTGGGAGGAAAGCATGGCTGCCTGGATCTGCCCTCCTTTTACCGAGGATGGTCACGCACACCTTCCAGGATGTGCTAGAAACGTGTCCTGAGCCAGAAGTGGCACCTTGCACGTAGCCGGCCAGTCAACATGTAAAGATTCCTAATTCTGAGGAATCGATGGACCTTAAAGAAACTGGCTAAAACAGCAACAAGGGCTTTGTCTGAGACTGAGCTTGGTTCCTAGTTTAATCTCTTAGTAGACTAGGAATCAGAGAGGAAAGATATAAATTTAATGGCTCTGTTAACTGTAGGCAAAACTATAAGAGGAAACTTTGCAATCTTAGGGAGAGATGAAGAATCAAAGATCAAGTTGGTTTGGGAGACACTACAGCAGAAATGACTGTTCACCGCATTTTATATTTATATGGTTTTCAGAATACTTTCACGAACTCTTATTTAGTCATGCATGAGAATTGTGTTCAATATTTTCCATGGTAAGTACTCTTCCTTATCTAGTAAAACCAAAAATTTCTTGAGTTATTTTTCATACTTTTAATCATTTCATAGACATATAAATTGGAAGGTATTTTAAGCCTTCAATCCTCTTCTTTTTTATAAATGGTGAAACTGGGGCCGAGTGGTGAAAAAATTTGCTTAATGTGGCAAATCTGTGGCACTGGCACTTGTACCGCTTTGTGAACACATATATAGTGAGAGGTACTGGTTCACCTTTATTTAATACACCTGCGATTTTCTCTGAATTCATTCTTCCGCCTTCCCTTGTCATCACCTAATGAAGCAGAACTCCCAAAACCTGGAAATTGTATTGAGATCCTAATTCTATGGCTTTCTGTCTTATGTGCTAACATCACAGAGGTGTGGGGGAACTTAAATGAAATTGGGAAGTTGGTAACCTCATTAGTATATTAAGTGATTATACTCCCTGTTCTCTTTCTTCTCCTCCTTCATCCAGACTCAAAAATAAAAGAGCCTGACTTCAGGCGTCAGCCCAATGGCGTAGAGGTTAAATTCACGTGCTCCACTTCTGCGGCCCGGGGTTCGCAGGTTCTGGGTTCGGATCCTGGGCACGGACCTACACACCACTCATCAAGCCATACTGTGGCAGCACGTCCCACATACAAAATAGAGGAAGGCTGGCACAGATGTTAGCTCAGCAACAGTCTTCCTCAAGCAAAAAGAGGAAGATTGGCAACAAATGTTAGCTCAGGGCCGATCTTCCTCACCAAAAAAAAAAGTCTGAATCCCTTGATATGACTGTTTCTTTCCAGATTTTCATTATTTGTCCAGACAGTTTCCTCCAAATTTCAAAAATTTTTATTTTGAAAGAATGAAAGAAATAAGACAGAGAGGTATCAATTAACAAGAACAATGACATTGAAGAAAATACAATAATTTGTACTCCCCCCACACACAACACCCCCACCCCTTTCCCCATCTCTGGCACAATAATATTAAAACCATCAAAGCACATCAACAAGGACACACAGCAGTATGTAATGAAGAAAGCAAATTTTCATACTGCTCAATCCAACTAACCCATATCAAATGTCCTTCCCCCAGCTAAACTCCACCCACCAGAATGATAAAAAGGTGTAGGGGAGACAACCGTGGGGGTAACTTGGATCTTTGTTTACACTAGCAAAGTTCAGTGAAGATTCAGTAGGAGTAGTGAATCTGTTCGGCGGGGAAACACTGGATACAGCTCCTCTGTCAAATTTCAGATGATTTAAGAGAACGGTAGAGTTTGAGATTCACAGACTTCTAATAGGACTAATCCCTGCTCCCTCAATCGCAACAGTGGAGCAGCTGCCAAATGCTGGTTAGCTGCTGAGAACAGTGGAAGTGAGGCAGCTTTTGGCTTAAGAAAATCCGAAAAAAGATGTCTGGTAACAAATTTACTGCTTCAGTTTCAAACTGTGAGTAAAGGAGCTTAGTAGGTTGGGTTCAGACAAAGGCAAGGTGAAACTTCCAATTTTATCACTTGAAGGATTAGATTATCTAATGACTGCATATATCCCTTATTTTCATTAAACTCAATACGGAGTATTTAGAAGTTAAACAACTGTTAAAGTCGAGGCTAATTAATTTTTCATATAACTCAGTGTCTCAAATTGAAGAAGCTTTTTCCTAAAGTGGTAGGTTTAAGTTTTCAGCTTAATCTATCGAGGGATTCCCCCATCCCATGGGAATACATCATTTGTTTTATACCAGAAGCAGGATTCTCTTTATAGGAGGTTTATTTTATTCTGCCTTGGCTAGAATCAGTCTATAAAGGGAAGGATACCAATGCAGGATTAGTTCAAGATCAGAGCCTTCTCCTCTGCATGTGCGTGTGTGCACACACACACAGTAAATACATTTTCCCACACACAATCTCACAGTCACATGCTTGCTGGAGTCCATCTCACAAATACACTTCAATAGTTAGCCATATACATGTACATGCAGCAAGATGTGAGCGTTGCCCCAGAGTGATTAAAAGTGGTGCACATATGTCTATGTGGGGAGGTCATTTTAGGGTATAGGTGTACACAAGCCAATAGGGCCATTAACTTGCAGATTATATTTTTCCCTTTCCCCCAAGATAAATAAATCAAATGAAAAACACGGTAACATCTTCCTGGGTGTCATGGAGGCAACTGCCTGGAAGGTCCACTTTTAGCACTTCCGCTTTCCTATGACAACTTCATTTTGCCCTGAGGGGCTTTCTCATATAAGGAGGGCTGCTCCTCGGCATTCCCTGCATTCGCTGGTGGTGGTGAGGGCTTCTTCTCAGAAGACCGATCTTCCGGCTTGCGGGCAATCAGCAGGCGGCAGGTGAGCAGGATCCCAAACACCAGGGCATGGGCGTAGCGTTTGAGAGGATCACCGACTAGCTGGTGGAAGAAGAGCACAGCCAACACCAGCAAGAGTAGGAAGAAGTTGGCCACATCTTTGGAACGCCCAGGCACAAGGGTCATGACAATGCCACAGGCCACCTCAAGAGCACCAATGCTTTTGCGGAGGAGAATGGAATTGATCCCCATTTTCTTCAGCAGAGGGAGGGCTCGGACATAGCTCTTGTAAGCACGTTTCTGCAGTGGAATACCATAAGAAAATCGCTGCATTAACCACGATTGTAACATTAGAATGAAGAAAACACAAGCAAGGTTCTCCTTCCCCACCATTCCCTTTCCACACCGGCCAAAGCTGTCCCATTTTTTACTTTGTCCCCTAAATAAAAGCCTTGTAATTGAGATAAGAAAAAAGCAAGCAGGGCCGGCCCCGTGGCTTAGCGGTTAAGTGCGTGCTCTCCGCTGCCGGCGGCCCGGGTTCGGATCCCGGGTGCGCACCGAGGCACCACTCTTCCAGCCATGCTGAGGCCGCATCCCACATACAGCAACTAGAAGGATGTGCAGCTATGACAGACAACTATGTACTGGGGCTTTGGGGGAAAAATAAATAAATAAAATCTTTAAAAAAAAAAAAAAGCAAGCAATCTGCTGAGATCCTTTTGATTTAAACCTTAGTAAAAGCACCAAAGGTAATAGAATTTGGCTTTATAGTTTAAATTTTTTGTGTGTGATTATAAATCATAAACAACATTAAGAATTTAAAAGAAAATTCATTGAGCCCATAAAAACTGGTACAGATTAGCCACATCCACATTTTCTGGTGCCTGCTTTGTCCAAAACCAGGTGTATATAAATACCAACAAAAATGAAACAAGGCGAGGCATGGTGTGGTAGAGCCTCACTAATCTGGACTTCCCTAATTTGGAATCTGTGATAATTCTGAAAAGAGCTGAGCTGGAGTTTATATTTGTGGAATCTGTAAAAATTTTAAAAGTGTGTGCTAAGCAAATAGAAAAATATAAATGTATGCAAATGTTAGCCCCTTATATATCATTAGAATATAGTAAGACAAAAATCATTCTCATGTTCATTGAGATAAATCCCCAGGCCTTTACAAGACACTACTTTGATTAGCCTGGGTCAAATTCATTAATTTTAATTCAACAAATATTTATTGAACACCTACTATGGATTATGTGATGGAGATATAGAGATGAATAAGACAGAGTCAAGAAGCTCTCGGTCTAGTGGGGGGAAACATAAACATACATAGACAACATTATAAAGCAGCATGGTTAGTGGTATATAATAGAGGACTGTACAAGGTCTGATTGTAGCCCAAGGGAGACATCATGGGACAGAGGAGGAAGTCGCTGGATATATTACAAAATAATAGAATTATACTGACCTTAGAGTAATAGATAATCATATTTTTCACTATTCAGATTGGCCTGATCCTCATTTTGGAGTAAATTGATGAGATTTTATCAAGTGTCTTATTGGGTTGGCCCACTGCTTTGTTTCCATTAAGTATCCATTAATTCATTCAGTACTTATTAAATGCCTCCTTGTGCTAGGCACTGTACTAGGTACTCTGTAAATCTGAATGCAGATGTCAATCATTCAAAGGCCCTGCCTTCCTGAAGCTTGAGTTTATTTATTTATTTATTTATTTATTTTATAATTTTATTTATTTATTTATTCTTTCCCCCAAAGCGCCAGTAGATAGTTGTATGTCATAGCTGCACATCCTTCTAGTTGCTGTATGTGGGACGCGGCCTCAGCACAGCCGGAGAAGCAGTACGTCGGTGCACACCCAGGATCCGAACCCGGGCCGCCATCAGCAGAGCGCGCACCCTTAACCACTACTGAAGCTTGAGTTTATAAGAGGAGGAACAGTTATGTAAACACGTAAGTGCAACACAGTGTTATGAATGCTAAATAAAATTATGTAGTGGGTACAGTGGAGGTGCACCAGAGGGAGTGGTCAAGTCTCCCTTGATGGAGACTGAGAAAAGCTAGAGTAGAATCTTAAAAGAAGAGCAAGTGTTTGTAAGATCAACAGGGGAAGGGCATTGCAGGCAGAGGAAGCTGGATGAGCAAAGACCCTAAAGCACAAAATAGACTGGTGGGTTGCAAACACTGCCCCAGTTCAGCATAGGTTGGGGGAGGGAGGGATGGGAGGCGAGACATGAGACAGGGGAGATAGATATGAATCAGATCATGGAGAACTATATATGTTGTGTTGTGGAGCTGGACTTTATTCTATAAGACAGGGGGAGCAGCATTATTTGCTTTTAAGGAAGGTCCCTCTGGAAATAGTGTGGAAGATGGATTGGGAGAAGTATGCCTGGAAGCAAGGAGACTGGGTGAGAGACCTGGACTAGAGTAATGACAGTAAAGATAGAGGGAAAAGGACAGAGTCAAGGATACTTTGAATGCAAAATCAACAGAATTTGATGACCTATTGGATGTGGACAGTGAGGGAAAGGGAGAAGTCAAGAAAGATCCTCTGGTCTCTGGCTTGGGTGCCTAGGTAGAAGGGTGTTACCATTCTCCAAGTTTGGGAATGCATCCAGAGGAACAGGTTTGGGAGGTGCAGAGGGCAGGAAGGAATAAGGAACTCAACTTGGGGTTTTTTGGGTGGAAGTATCTCTAAGACATCTAAGTGGAGAAGTCTGGTAGGCAGCTCAGTAAGAGAGGTCTGGGGTAAAGATACAGAATGGATACTTATCAGTATGCCCAGGTAAAGTGTATACAGTGGAAAAAATTGTGTAACAGACATTTAAGAAATGGGAAGAGGGGGCCGGCCCCATGGCTTAGTGGTTAAGTGCGCGCGCTCCGCTACTGGCGGCCAGGGTTCGGATCCCTGGCTCGCACCAACGCACTGCTTCTCCGGCCATGCTGAGGCCGCGTCCCACATACAGCAACTAGAAGGATGTGCAACTATGACATACAACTATCTACTGGGGCTTTGGGGAAAAAAAAAAGGAGGAGGATTGGCAATAGATGTTAGCTCAGAGCCGGTCTTCCTCAGCTAAAAGAGGAGGATTAGCATGGATGTTAGCTCAGGGCTTATCTTCCTCACAAAAAAAAAAAAAAGAAATGGGAAGAGGAAGACAGTCGATAAAGCAAACAGAAGAAAGTGTGGTCAGAAAAGTAGGAGGAAAACCAGGCGAGACAGAGTCATGGGGGCCAAGAGGAATTTTAAGAAGAGAATAGTCAAAAGTGCCAGATGCAAGATAAGTATTATAAGAATCAGGCAGAAAGCCAACTTGACCTCTCAGAAGCATCTGGCGCTCAGAATAGTGTTCATACACTCTAGGTTTGGAACAAATGTTGTCATTTCCCTCACTTCTGGACAAGTGAATTCCCCTTTATTTCATGGATTAATTATCATGAGTGGCACAAGATAATCTTCTATGAGGACTGTTAAAAGACAGATGGTTTAGAGAAAAAAGCATGGGTTTGGATTCAAACAGACTTTGGCTTCAAATCCCCTGTCTGCGACTCTCTAGTTGGGTGTCCGTGGGCAAAATATTTGACTCTCTGAGCCTCATTTTCCTGAGCAGGGCTGGGACTAAGGTGAAGTGAGTGAGGCTATTTGCCTTGAATGCAAAATTTGAGAGGGCACCAAAAACACTCATTGATCAAGGTAAATAATATCCATGATGAACAATATATCAAAATTGTAAATAAAGGCAGGATCTGACTCTCCACTTGCACAATCCTGCCTCACTCACCTCTTCCTAATTCCAGCCCTGTCAGGTCCTGTCTTCATTTAAAATTTCACTTCCCCCTAGTCCCTACCCTATTCCTGAGCATATAAGGAAATACAAAGTGTTAGTCATTCTTCCTCCCTCTTCTCGTCTTAGGTTAAATCAGGGATTTTCAGAGAGAAATTAGGAAAGAGGTTGACCAGTTGGCATAGTAAAACCGTGGGCTGAACTGAGCCAGAGCTGCGTGGAGCAGAGCAGAGCTGAGGGGTAGGGCACCTGGTTGGGGGGAGAAGCCTGCCTGTTTCCTCTCACTATTAACCTAGATTCCACCTGCCCACTCTCTCCCCCATGCACTCTGGTGATGATAGCAGGGGGACATTAGGGAGAGAAATCTAGACCCAAGAGGCTTCCTTAACACTTTTAAATAAGGACTACTTCTAATTAGTAACACAATGCTTCCCAAGAGGAAATTCCTAAATCCTAAGTGTAAGTTTCTGACATGATGAACACAGGAGGCAAGATGAGTTTCTTACAGTCAGTTTGGAGCCAAGACTTCCAGATGCTGGCTCAGTGGCTTCTGGAAATGCTCCTTTTTTGGCTAGGGCTAACCACTCATCATTCAAGAATAGATTCTTATCTATACTATAGTGGAATATGTAGCCTGGGACCAAATTCCAAGTCTTTAAACCAAGTCCTATAACTTCAGTGATCTTTTTTCTCTCCATTTGGTGTAACTCCATATTACTTTTTCAGTTGTTTTTCTAACCTCTTAAACTGAAACTATAGATATTTTTATGTAGCTGTTGCCTCTTTCTTTTCTCCTTTTCTCCAGAGGAATGTGGATAAGTCATTTCATTAAATCTTTAGTTCAAAGCTGAGTAGGTACAGATAGCATCTATTCTCCAGGATTCCAGACAGGGAATGTTTAATTTGTTAGAGATGGGACTAAGCTTGGATGAGGTCTTGACATTATAGGAAGCCCTTTATTCTTTCTCCTGTGGAGTAGGATGGAGACATCAAAAGAATCCTATTGCCAGCTCCATCAATGCTTGGTTGGGCCACCTCAATTCTAACAATAGAAGGGTCACATGTCTTGAGTCTATAGTAACTAGATCTCTAAAGACTTGAATTGTTCTGATAGTAAGAATAGAGAGTTGACTGAGTCACTCTCCCAAAATGTTCTTGCGATTCAGTTTGTTAGGTCTGTTTCCTTTCCACTGCAATGACCCAGACTCTGTAACCACAGTGTGCTTATAGGGGAATGAAGCAGGAAAGAGAAGGCTTTAGTCAATGTTTTAAATCCCGTTAATCAAAGTCGATCATCCAGCAATATCCTTGAGTTGGAATTCTTAAGTAAGCTAAATTCCAATTTGAGTTTTGCCCCTAAATTGCTTGGAGAAAATTACTAAGTATTTTATTACCTCAGTTTACTCTTTCGTAAATTAAATGAGCATTTTGGAGATTTAGTCAAAGAATCATAGCATCAACCAAGGGCTACACACACACGTTTTATCATTAATG